CGTACGTACACACACACACACCCATCACAGATTCACACACATCTACATACATACATGCTATCACAAACACAGACACAAATACACATTCACAACACATAGGAAAGAGAAAACAGACAGACAGCCACACATTCAGAAAAAAACAACTACTGGGACACATCGTAGACACACATATGCACACACACACACAACAGTTTTAAAATCATTAACTCTTAGAGTCCCAAGGAACGCATCATACGTTCATAGGTTCCTGCCTAGAGGCCCAATAAACGCAAGATGCGCCGATTTACATCTCTTTTGACTACCCCTTGGGCCTCTGATGCTAAACCCCCTGGGACTCAAAGAGTTAACTTGGGCACACAGGTCGACCTAGTGTAAACATGATTTAGGAAGACAGGGTAGTTAGCATGTTGTTGACACCACCATCCCCTGGCTACCAGTTGCTCTGCAAAAAAGTAAGCTAGCACTTTGAGTCCTAAAGGCAAGCGGATAGGTTCTTTACTTTTACTTATAGACAGTTCCGGGGTTAAAGCCACTTCTGGCCAAAATGGCTGGTAGTTGGCTGATTTGAAAAGTTTTTTTTCCCCATTTCTGAACTGGAAGTCCCAGGGTTCCATCGCCCAGCTACTGAGTTGAGGGCTAGGTGCGACACCACGCTGTGGATTTCATGTGGAGTGTTCATTTCTTTTGTGCCCGCGGCAGTGTTGTTGACTGCACTAAAATGCTGGGTGACCAATTACATTAGAATAGCACTGTGGCTTTCCTGATTGACTGCACAAACAGATTGTGCTGTCAAGTTTTCCTTACATTTTAAAATGAGACAGTAAAGAACATTTTGTGTGAGATTTCCACTGGCACATGAATGGAGCAGTTATGGGGCGACCCATCTGCAGTGATGTTGCAACCTCAGTTTATGATGTATACAAGTTGAGCTACGTTAACTCTTTGAGTCCAAAGGAACGCATCATCCGTTCATAGTTTCCTACCTAGAGGCCCAATGAATGCATGATGTGCCGATTTAACGTCTTTCTTAACTACCCCTTGGGCCTGTGATGCTAAACACCCTGGGACTCAAAGAGTTAAGAGCTAGCATCGTGGTACTATGCTCCTTTTTGGTGCATGTCAGAAGTGGACGGCCATTTTAAACTGTCATTATAACGTTTCAATGTTTATCTGTCCCTTGTTGTCATGTGCTTAACACTCTTGACATCCTCAACAACAGCATTGACAGGGTACAAGACAGTGGCATTGTTATTGTAACTTCTGTCACACGTTTAGTGTTTTCATTTGAAGCCCTCTCATAGATTGTTGAAATGTAGATTGTTGAATGGTGAAGTTTATGATGTTTCATTTTGAAGTGGTTGGTTAAATATTGAAGTAGATGTTAAAGTGTTGAATAGGCTTTTTAACTGTTGAAGTAGATGATTAAATATTTAAGTAGCTGGTTAAATGTTGAATTGGTTGGTAAAATGTTGAAGTATTTATTTAAATGTTGAAGTAGATGGTTAAAAGTTGAAGTAGCTGATTTATGTTGAAGTATGTGGTTAAATGTAGAAGTAGGTGGGTAAACTCCTGTTTTATAATACCATTTATCTGATTCATCAAGAAAAAAAGTGATGCACCAACGATAACACCTGATTCATAGCACCCAGGCTTGGAGTTTTTGACCTCTTGAATTGTAGAGTACATGTTATCAAAACAGTTTGAAGCAAAGGGTATAGACAAAGAAACGTGACCAGGTAGCACTCATAGAACTGGCAGAGTAGGTCATTGGCATATTTATGAATATTACTGATAGGATAGGCAGCTGATAGTTAGAATACCCCCTCTCTCAAAAAGGCCAGGTTTGAAGCCTGGTAAAGTAATGGAAATATTTCTGCCTAAGACAGTAAAATAAAGTCATAACCTACACAGTTAAAGGTGACTCCACACATTTCTGCATTCTAAGGCCCAACACCCCCCTCCCCCCCTCTCCCCCAAATCCTCAAGCTGCACTAAAAAGTGGGATCAATAAGAGCATTAAGAAAAAGACTGATAGACAGCAGCAGAAGAACTTGATGGTGAGCCCTGATGACTTGCAAATCAAGCTGTGGGAGAGAAGGGAAACAAGATCATATCTTCCTCTGTCTTGTCTGACTGCTTCTTCCCTCAAGGATTGCTGCTGGAAGGGTGGACACCACAGCAGCTTGAATGTGCATTCTTCTTCTTTGTGTTCACCAGCCATAAACTCCTGCAGAGAGTTCTGATTGTTCATCTACTTCTGAACTGTAGTCTTTTTCTAGAACTTGAGTTTTGCACGCCCATCCATTTGACAGCTCTGGCTTATTTGTTTGCAGACTGTAGCTCCTTGCCTCTCAGACAGAAGAATGATATTTAATATGAGGTCAACGCCCCTAATTCATCAACTTTTATGACATGACATGCTTGTTAGGGGGAACATGGGTCTATTCCCCCCACAGACGGGCCCCAGGATCCAAACAGAGAGTGTGTGTGGGATCTAGTAGCATGTAGTGTAGTATTCTTCACATATCTTGTGGTTCTGCCAGCGCTAAATATAGGTTTGTATCAAGACATATGATGTGCCACAAAAGTGGCCTATAGTTTACTGGGTCAGCCTGGTTTCAATGTCGGGCTGGTTTACTTAGAAAATATATATGCTGAAAATCTACCTGTTGATAATGGGTATGTGAAGGTCATGGTGACATAGTCTTTTCGGACTTTGTATCTGCTGCCCCTTTGGAAAGAGGTAAACTACCACACACTTCACCTTTCCACGTTGAATGGCCCGGTATTTATCATGTGTTGTATAGGTTTTAAAAAACATCCCGGAGTTGGGTTTTTAAAATCCCGATTTGTGTCACAATGTTATTATTTAAACAGAAGTCATATGATTGTCGCTGTTTTTGTTCTGGGGCCCCGTTTGTTGGAAGAGGGAGCGAGGAGAATTAGATCCAATGCTGATTAAACAAGCCTGCCATGAAAGATGGCTATTTAACAGATTGTTGAAATCAGCAGTTGGTAACACTGATTATAAGACAAAGAAGATGGGCTATGTTGACCAAATCCTGGGAATAAACCAGCAGAGAATCACCAAGCAGGCACTACAATGGGAAATAAAGGATTGAGGAAATAAGGATGTCTAAGAGAAGCCCTCAGACAGACACTGATGGGAGAAGCCCTCAGACAGACACTGATGGGAGAAGCCCTCAGACAGACACTGATGGGAGAAGCCCTCAGACAGACACTGATGGGAGAAGCCCTCAGACAGACACTGATGGGAGAAGCCCTCAGACAGACACTGATGGGAGAAGCCCTCAGTGCTGGACAGATTTCCATCCATTATTTCAAAAGGACTTCACATGATACAACGGAATGGAGGAGTAGACTGCAGGCTCTATATGACACGTTTTGGCACAACAGGACCATGAATTAATTAAATCAGATGTTTTCGGCCGAAAGGTGCTGAAACCAGAGCCTGGCTGTAAACCACAAAATAACATATCTAAATTTCTTTTAAGGGTAAACACAGAGAACTGTTTAACCATAGTACTATCTCCTGTTGCATTGCCTAGTTTTTATTTTGTGTTGTAATATCTTTTTTTTTATTTTTTTAAATCGTACTGGTACCAACGTTGTGCTGGCTTGATCAGATGGAAAGGCCTGTATAAAATGTCATATCATCATCAACATGTAGCAGATCCTTTTGCAGAATGCCAGTGTCAATGACAGCCCCACCTGAAAGAAATTTGGTCTCTCACAATATCTCCTGCCTTGTGCACTTTCCTACGGAAGGTTTCACTTATATCCTGTCTACATCTTCATGCTGGTTGGCTCCTGCCCCTCTTTCCTGGTACCATGTCTTCTGCTACTATTCTTTCCAGTTGGCTGCGGCCAAAATATTTCAGTTTCTGAGATTAGAGGCTATTTACAGCCACTTGATGTTCTAGGAACAGATATATTTATGTTTTCTGTGACTATTCATCTTTTTTCAGCTTTCTGAACCCTTGAGGTTCATTGCTGAAGATATTACCCTCCTCCAATCATCTCTCTGGTTGGCCTTCTTGTTTCACATGAGACTGTGTTTTCAAAAATTTATAGTAAGGCTTAATCTCCTAATTTTTTCTTTTATTAGAAACTTTTTTCTTTTTAAAGTAGTTAGATATTTTTATTTTTCCTATGAGTAGATACCATTTATTTTTCGATGAGTAAGGTTCTTTTCTGTTCTCTATAAGTAATAATTATGTTTTTTATGAGTAGGAATCATTTTTGTTTTCCATGAATGAGTTTCTGTACTGTTCTTCATGAGTAGATATCATTTCTTAGTCTTAGTCAGGTTTCATCTTCACTGCAATCAGGTTTCCCCATACTTGCTCCGTTCCTGTGCCTGTGCAAATCAAAGGAAATGTCCCTCACTGTCCCTATTTGAAAAAAATGGTGAACAAACAATTAGTCCCAGAACAATCCAGAAAAACATACGCAGTAAATGCAAATTTAAGTTGCTAGAGGCACCAAAACTGACAATCACCACACAAAAATGCAGTTTGTCATTGATGGAAGTAGTTGGGCACAATAAGTTAGCTTAACACACATATAATCATAACATAAGGTATTTCACCAGCTCACATGTAAACCGGCCATATTGAATACTACAATTCACCCTCTGCACAAATGAAAGGTATTCCACATGAAAAACACAGCTCACAGGGCTGTACCAGACACTAAACTGTAGACTTCCGTCAATATGTGGAAACTGCATTAGGAAAGCGGTGTTAGAAGCAAAAATAATTTTGAAGCTTAACATTCTGCCATGCCTAATCCTCCATTTTAGACCGGAAGTTCAAATATCATTTCTGTTTTTACTGAGTACATCATTTTGTTTTCTGTGACCAGATATTATGGATCTTTTCAGTGAGCCGGTGTCATTTTGTCTGGGAATAAATTTCATTTATTTTGTATGTTGATTTTGTTTTTGTTTACAGTGAGGGATGTCTTTCTATTTTCAGTGAGTGGATTAAGCAGCTGAAGCTTGAGGAAAAAGGCAAGAGGCCCAGTCTGCTGCGAGCACTGTTTAACACATTCGGTGTGCACTACATTTTAGTTGGCTTTATGGTGCTTCTTGAGGTGTGTACTCAGTCAGCTTCACCTGAGGTTATGTAGTCACAAGCATATGGTGATCACACAGCTATACTGTGGGGATAAGTCACACACAGTCTTCTTCTTCTTGATGTTTACACGCTGTAAACTCCGGTGGAAAGTCTTAGTTTTTCATCAACTTATGTACCTTGGTCTGTTCCAGAATTTGAGTTTTGCATCCACATCCGTTTAACAAATCTGGCCTATTTTATGCACACTGTTGGTTCTGGCTGCATCATTAGTTCACAAGTTTGATAATCTCTGGTGCTATGGAGTGTGTACTTTGTGTGACTCTGTAGTTGGCTTGTCATTTTGAGGAGAGAGGCTGAGCTATACAAGATAAAACCTGGTGCAGTGAAGTAGATTCTCTTTACTTTAACTTGAAGTCTTGTGGTTTTTCTCGGAACATTAAACAGCAACAAAGATAACATTGGCAATCAAAATTTAACTAAATCCAAAATTGAAATTAACAGTGAAGCAATACAAACTATCAGAAACTTTCAACAGAGCCACATTGGCTGGGTGGTTAGTCACTTTGCCTGTTGAGGCATTGGTTGAGGCACTGGTTGAGACAGTGATTGGGGCCACGGTTGAGACAGTGGTTGAGGAAATAGTTAAGACAGTGGTTGAAGCAATTCCTGTGAAAGTGGTTGAGGCGATGGTTGAGACAGTGGATGAGTCATTGGTTAAGGCAGTGGATGAGACAGTGGCTGAAGCAGTGGTTTAGACAGGAGTTGTAGCAATGGTTAAGACAGTGAATAAATCAGTGGTTGAAACAGTGGTTGTGGCAGTAGATGAGACAGTGGTTGAAGCAGTGGTTGGGACAGTGATTGGGGCAATGGTTGAGACAGTGGTTGAGGCAATGGTTGAGACAGTTTTTGTGACAGTGATTGAGACAGTGATTGAGACAGTGGTTGAGGCAATGGTTGAGACAGTGGTTGAGGCAGTGGTTGAGACAGTGGTTGAGGCAGTTTTTGTGACAGTGGTTGAGACAGTGATGGAGGCAATTGTTGAGGCAATGGTTGAGACAGTGGTTGAGTCTGTGGTTGAAACAGTGATTGGGACAGGGGTTGAGACAGTAATTGAGGCAGTGATTGAGGCAGTGGTTGAGACAGTGGTTGGCACTAACAATAAGTAATTTTATAGAACCTAAAAAAATCAAATGGTTTGGTCATCTGGTTAGAATGGGTAAAAGAATCAGCCAGCAGCTGGAGTGTACTACATGAGATCAGCAGGCTACAAGGCAAGAGTCTGACCAAACAGCAGCTGGAGTGTACTACATGAGATCAGCAGGCAACAAGGCAAGAGACTGACCAAACAGCAGCTGGAGTGTACTACATGAGATCAGCAGGCTACAAGGCAAGAGGCTGACCAAACAGCAGCTGGAGTGTACTACATGAGATCAGCAGGCTACAAGGCAAGAGGCTGACCAAACAGCAGCTGGAGTGTACTACATGGGATCAGCAGGCTACAAGGCAAGAGGCTGACCAAACAGCAGCCTGGAGTGTACTACATGAGATCAGCAGGCTACAAGGCAAGAGGCTGACCAAACAGCAGCTGGAGTGTACTACATGAGATCAGCAGGCAACAAGGCAAGAGACTGACCAAACAGCAGCTGGAGTGTACTACATGAGATCAGCAGGCTACAAGGCAAGAGGCTGACCAAACAGCAGCTGGAGTGTACTACATGAGATCAGCAGGCTACAAGGCAAGAGGCTGACCAAACAGCAGCTGGAGTGTACTACATGAGATCAGCAGGCTACAAGGCAAGAGGCTGACCAAACAGCAGCTGGAGTGTACTACATGAGATCAGCAGGCTACAAGGCAAGAGGCTGACCAAACAGCAGCTGGAGTGTACTACATGAGATCAGCAGGCTACTAGGCAAGAGACTGACCAAACAGCAGCTGGAGTGTACTACATGAGATCAGCAGGCTACAAGGCAAGAGGCTGACCAAACAGCAGCTGGAGTGTACTACATGAGATCAGCAGGCTACAAGGCAAGAGGCTGACCAAAAAGCAGATGGGCAGAGGGAGTACAAGAGACACCACAGAAATGCAATATGATATGAATACCCCATCTGTAGGAAACTTGGCAGCAGACTGTCTTGCCTTGGTTTCAACAGTAATTTTGTGAGACAGTTCAGAACGCCAAAGCAAACTACTAAATATATAAATTTGCCCAGGAAAACCGCAAAAAAATGCTGGGGTTGGTTCATCAACCTGTAAAGGATACGCAACTAACTTTATTTGTTGGGGGGTTTGATCTGCTCTCCCTCCCCCCCTCCCTCCCCCACAGAAAGAATGGAACTGTCTACCAACATTTTCTTTGTCACAGCTTTGAATATGTAAAAGCCCAGCACTAGACACTTATATGTCAGTAGCTATTTTTACCCCACAGGAGGAATGGAACTGTCTACCCCATTTTTTATGTCACAGCTTAGAATATGTAATGGCCTAGCACTAGACACCTATATGTCAGTAACTCCCCCCCCCCCCCCCCCCCCCCCCCCCCCCCCCCCCCCCCCCCCCCCCCCCCCCCCCCCCCCCCCCCCCCCCCCCCCCCCCCCCCCCCCCCCCCCCCCCCCCCCCCCCCCCGCACATGAAGAATTTAACTGTCTACCCCATGTTGTATGTCACAGCATGGAATATGTATAGACCCAGTACTAGACACCTACATGAAAGAATGGAGCTGTCTACCCCATGTTGTATGTCACAGCATGGAATATGTATAGGCCCAGTACTAGACACCTACATGAAAGAATGGAACTGTCTACCCCATGTTGTATGTCACAGCATGGAATATGTATGGGCCCAGTACTAGACACGTGTATGTCAGTAGCTACTGTGGGATGATAATCTTTGACTTTAATTGCAGGAAACAACAAAAGTCATCCAGCCTCTGCTCCTGGGGGGCCTCATACGCTACTTCACCCCCAACGCTCCCATCAGCAAGTTTGAGGCCTGGATGTATGCCCTCGGTGTCTCTCTGTGTGCCATAGTCCTGGCAGTGGCTCACCATCCTTACTTCTTTTGGGTGCAGAGGATCGGCATGCGAATGAGGATTGCCTGTTGTTCACTTATGTACAGGAAAGTATGTAGATGTTTTATCATACTCCATTGTTATACACACTTTCTTCTTCCTCCTTGATTGATCTTAAAAGGGCGGTTGGCACATTTCCAATGGTTTAAAACTAGGCTGTGATATCTCGCCTTGTGACCCAACACATCTGATTTCAGAAAATCCATAAATAGTCACTTTTTAATAGTAAAGTATGGTGTGGAATGGTTGGCAGTGTCCCCAGGAACACAGCTTTGTACAGTGATGGTTACCTTGGACCGAAGGTGGTGGGAATGGATAGTTGGGGAAACAGAGATAGCAGTGCAACAGCTCATCAGTGAAAATGCATACCCGGGTGACATCATAACATATTCAAATGGGTCTGTAGTGAGAGGTAAGAAGATGGGTAGGGGAGTATTACAAGGGCTGATGGACACTGTTTGAAAACAGAGAGCCTCATGTATAACATCACTACATCTTATATGATAATGGAGATGGAGGCAGTAATGGCCGCTTTCTGACAGAGAGCAGCCCAGCCCAGCATGCTTCACAAAATACGACTCAGATCAGGAGCATATCCTGGATTTGTTTGTCCAGGATATTCAGGTGTGTGGGTAAATGAGCAGGCTCATAGATTATCTGCTGCCGCTGCTCTGATGGGTGAGCTCCTTTATGATAAAGGGAACATTGTGAAGTCTCTCTGGGATCTAATGGTCAGTGCAGTAGAAGAGACAGAGAATCCATACATTGAAAGACTAGGTATTCAACACTGATGGGGAAACATCAGTGGTCTTGAAATCATTCTGTCTACATAGAGCAATAGATTCCCTGCTTAGAGTGTCCCACAATGCAGAGATTTGTTCATTCATCACAAATGATGAGGACCAGTCTGTTTCTTATCCATTTTGCAACTATAGTTGATTGTCTGTGAGTCCGGAGGTGACTTAAAAGCCCAGTAGGAAGGATCACGGACACTGAGTTTAGAGAACAGTGCATGTAGATAAAGGGCCTGTTATACCAGTCTTTCTAGCCTGTCTTAGCTGTACAGCTGCCCTTTTTCTAGATCTGTCACAGATGAGACAGATGTTCTCCATATGGTAATTTTTTTGCAGCAGCTTCCCAAGTAGCAGGGTTTATATTGAGAAGCTCAAGTGATGCCTTTAGTGTGTCTTTGAAGCGTTTTTTTTTTTTCTGGTCACCATGAGAGTGTCTACAGACTCTGTAGCTCCACTGAAAACCTCCATAGATCTCTGAAATGCCAGCAGTCACACACTAAACAGTGGAGTCCTTAACTAAACCCACAATCTTCAGAGCATAGGGCAGATGTCTGATCACTTCATCGTAGAGATCCCAAAGTAGTGTTGGGTGTATTGTCCTAGCCTCGTATGTGTAAAGACGAGTCCGCACACGATGGGCATTGTTGTCTTATTACACAAGTACGTTTACTTCCTAGCACTGACAATTTCATGTTTATCCACAGTATGACTAGATCAGAACTGGTTAAAACACAAACTTTCTGCTACAGAAAAGATATTTTATTTAAAAAAAATTATGCTACTTATATCCGATGCTGCATCACGTTGGTAGTCGTGTTTGTCTTCAACTTTCTGTCTCAAGTCCTTTCAGTCAGTTCTGACACAGATGATGTTCCATGTCATCATGTCAAACTTTCCAGACTCTTCTCTCTGTCTCTTTCTGCCTATCTTCTCCTCCAACTGACCCATTGTCACTATGTACTTCAGTTTTCTTCCTCTCATAACATGACCACAGAATGTAAATTGTCTCCTTCTGGTGTTGGCCACCAGTTCTCTTCTTGAGTCACTTTCTTTGAAGACATCATTATTACTCATTTTGTCTGTTCAAGGTGTTCTTGTCATTTGTTTATAAAAACCCTGTCTCAGTTGCTTCTACATACTTTTTCACTGATCAGACAGCCAATTGTCCCTGATTCACTTCCGTATACCAGGGTAGGAATTGTATAGCTCTTGAGAATTCTCTTTCTTACCTCAGTTGGCAAAGAAAGGTTGCCTTGAATATTCTGTATGGCCTGCAAAAAAAAAAATTTAAAACAAATTAGCGGTAGTTAATTTAATTTGGTTTTAGAGGTCAGAATGTTCATATGCACAAATTATCTACTTAGACTTTATAATCAGCTTGGTTCTCTCATGTTTAATCAGTGCCTTAGACTGAGCAACAAAGCCATGGGTGAAACAACAGTAGGCCAGATTGTCAATCTCATGTCTAATGATGTCAACAGATTTGACCAGGTATTATGTGTTTGCATGAATGTTTATGTGAAGTAGAAAGTAAACAAGTGATAATTCAGAATGAGAATCATAAAGTGTGGTATTCAGACTCATCACTGCTATATTACGGGGAGAGAGACAGTGAGCAAGCAGTTTTCTTCTTCTTTGTTCAGCGACTGTAAGCTCAAGTTGAATGTGCATCTGTTTTACTAGCTACAGTTGGTTGTTCCTTGCTGCTTGGACAGATGCATTTTGAAGGAAGTCCCCAATTGGTCGACTCCTACAATATGCTTAATGGAGAGGCAGTGGGTCTGTTCTTGTTTTCCCCACACTGGGATCCCGAAGAGCAAGCGGGTAAAACATTAGTAAAGGCCCCCAATCAAAGAACAGACAGAACATGAGTAGAAGCCCTTGATCAATAAATCAGTTGCCATCTCCATAGTGGAGATTAGATTGGCTGAAATGCTACAAGAATCACCTGCCTCTATTCATTTCTTTGATAGCTTTTCTCTTTCCAGTTCTTGACCCTAAATGTTTGTAGTTCTACCTGTATATTATCTCTCTGCAATCTTCTTAGTAATTTTTTAATCTGAATAAATTTGTCTTGATCTTCTTCAGCAGTATTTCAAACCTTTGAGGTTCATTGTTGCAGATATCACCCACCTCCATTCATCTCTGTTTTCTGACTTCTCTTTCCATTTGATGTCTCCATTATAGAAAAGGACCCTTTTCCACACTTTCAGACATTTTGGGCACATAGGGCTAGACCTATATTTTATATACCAGTCGGCACTTGGTAGGTGTTGAGGTCAGCATCATGCCGGCTGCCTTAACTTCCCAGGACTTTACCTGGTATCCATTTAAGGCTGGGTCGACCTGGGAGCCAAGGTAAAATTTTTTTTTATATTCCTGTTCTGTTTCGATTTGAACTCATGACCTTCAGATTTACACGTGAGGATCTAGCCACTACACCATGGTGGCTTTCAAGTGTTTGTAGGTTTATCTGTCCACCATCTTCTTAGTCTGCCCTGTGGGCTGCTCCAAATAACCTCTTTTACGTTATGGGTTTTTACTCTGTTATTCTCCATTCTATCTGTTGATTTCCATTCTCTCTGTTATTCTCCATTTTCTCTGTTATTTCTATTCTCTCTATTATTTTCCATTCTATCTGTATGACCAACTTGAATTACTTCAATATTCAGTTTATGCCAATACATTTTTACTACTTTTCTATAGCATTTTATTTCACAAGCATATATATTGTTTCAGCTGTGTCTAGGTTTTGTGCCCTTATGTTACCACAGCAAATATTCATGACTCTAACACTCTTAGCTTTTGTTGCTCTTTTTATTTCTAGCCTATAAAGTTTTTTATTGCTTAGTTTTTGCTCAGTCACAATTGCTATTGGCCATTAAATGATCATAAAGTTTTTGTTGAGTAACGATTATTGTCCTCTGTGCAATTTCCATCAAGTTTGTGCTGAGTCAAGGTGTTGTTCTCCATTTAAATTTCTGTCATCACTTTTCTGTCAGTCGTCGGAAGTAAACTAGGAAGTAAACTAAGTCATTCAAAACAGCTCACCTTCTGTCATTTCTCCTCATAGATCAGTATATCTTTTGTATTATTTATCTGTTGTGGTTATTTTTAATTCATTGTTATCTTGAGATATACATTTTCTCGTTCACTTTGTTCCTGCAAATACTTTTTTAGTTTCTAAGTTGTTGTCCTTGATGTAAATAGTAATAGGGGCTCTCAGCAGTTTGACTTGCAAGTACTTCTGTTTCTGTGACTGATAAATGATACAGAAAATATTAATTGTGATAGCACATTGTTATGTAGAATCAACCCTGTTGTATGGTGCAGAGACCTGGACAGTGAACAGCCAATTATGAAGTCTCTAGAGATGTGGATATACAGAATAATAAATCATTGGTCAAGGGAAAAAACATTCAAAAACCTGGATTTTGAGAAGAACAGGAATCATAAGAGAGACAAGTAAAATATTTCACGGCATAACAAATTTTTTTTTAAACCGTACTGGAGGGAAGAGTTGAAAGCAAGTGAAAAGGATGCAGAAAGCGATATCAGTGGGAAGATAAAATCAAGAGATGGAAGAACAGCAGTCTGATAGTGTACATCGAAAGTGAAAGATACGGTTGTTGAAAATCCAGTACAGCCAACCATGTCAGCATCTTCTCTTTCCTTGGGATGTTTTCAAAATAGTTAAATGAGCCCAGTAAAGGGTACATGACAGAAGGGACAAAATAGTTCAATGAGCCCAGTAAAGGGTACATGACAGAGGGGACAAAATAGTTGAATGAGTCCAGTAAAGGGTACATGGCAGAGGGGATAAAATAGTTGAATGAGCCCAGTAAAGGGTACATGACAGAGGGGACAAAATAGTTGAATGAGCCCAGTAAAGGTAACATGACACAGGGGACAAAATAGTTCAATGAGCCCAGTAAAGGGTACATGACAGAAGGGACAAAATAGTTGAATGAGTCCAAGGGTACATGACAGTGGACAAAATAGTTGAATGAGTCCAGTAAAGGGTACATGACAGAGGGGACAAAATAGTTGAATGAGCCCAGTAAAGGGTACATGACAGAGGGGACAAAATAGTTGAATGAGCCCAGTAAAGGGTACATGACAGAGGGGACAAAATAGTTGAATGAGCCCAGTAAAGGGTACATGACAGAGGGGACAAAATAGTTCAATGAGCCCAGTAAAGGGCACATGACAGAAGGGACAAAATAGTTGAATGAGTCCAGTAAAGGGTACATGACAGAGGGGACAAAATAGTTCAATGAGCCCAGTAAAGGGCACATGACAGAAGGGACAAAATAGTTGAATGAGTCCAGTAAAGGGTACATGACAGAGTGGACAAAATAGTTGAATGAGCCCAGTAAAGGGTACATGACAGAGGTGACAAAATAGTTGAATGAGCCCAGTAAAGGGTACATGACAGAGGGGACAAAATAGTTGAATGAGCCCAGTAAAGGGTACATGACAGAGGGGACAAAATAGTTCAATGAGCCCAGTAAAGGGTACATGACAGAGGGGACAAAATAGTTGAATGAGCCCAGTAAAGGGTACATAACAGAGTGGACAAAATAGTTGAATGAGCCCAGTAAAGGGTACATGACAGAGGTGACAAAATAGTTGAATGAGCCCAGTAAAGGGTACATGACAGAGGGGACAAAATAGTTGAATGAGCCCAGTAAAGGGTACATGACATAGGTGACAAAATAGTTGAATTAGCCCAGTAAAGGGTACATGACAGAGGGGACAAAATAGTTCAATGAGCCCAGTAAAGGGTACATGACAGAGGGGACAAAATAGTTAAATGAGCCCAATAAAGGGTACATGACAGAGTGGACAAAATAGTTGAATGAGCCCAGTAAAGGGTACATAACAGAGTGGACAAAATAGTTGAATGAGCCCAGTAAAGGGTACATGACAAACGAAAAAATGAAACCTTCCTTACCCTGTTTGGACATGAAGCCAGTCTGTTTTATCATCAAATACTCTTACAGCTGCCCTTTATTCTTCTTCTTCTTCTTCTTCTTCGTCTTCTTTTCATTTGCTAGAAATAAATTATCTATATCTGCAGTGTTGTCTCTGGTATGAACTTCAGTCTTTTGTAATTCACTCAGCGACCCGTAAAGTTTGACTTGCACCGATGTTTCTCAAAATTATAAATGACTTTGTCATACCAGTTTTGTGCTATCAGTGTCAGACTTGTACACTGACTAGAACTACCAAAAAACTGGCGTCCTGTGAAATTAGATGTTTGAGAAAGGCCGTGAACAAAACTAAAAGAAAAGAGATCATTTGAGAAATGAAGAAAATTACCTAAACTGTTGGAACAACACCTATAATTTAATTCATTAAACAACAAAGACTGAAATGGTTTGACCATATAATGAAAATAAATCTAATGGTGCAGGAAATGAGAGCATACAATACGAATGTAGAAACACAAAGGGGTAGGGGACAATCAAGAAGAAGCTGGATTGGAAGAGTCACTGATACTTTATGACTTTACAATGTCTCTTCACAATATCACAGCATACCAGGCAACTTAGCAAGCCCCTTACTCAAATACAGATTATCTGTTAATCTGGGATGCCAAGTGGCATAAAGCAGAGTATGGACACCAGCAAAATAATGCAGTTTATATGTCACAAATGGCTTGTAGTTGATTCGTCGATTCCATTCTATCCTGTGCTGTCTTTTTGATTTTGTGGATGGAATCCAACTTGACCCCTTCGACCTCTTTTATCAACAATCAGCCTAGGGTTTATTTTCAATGTCCTCATGTTCTAAATTTGTGTATTTCTTGAATGTCTGTTAGATGATTCTCTGTCTATTTCTACTTAGGACGGGCCTTGTATTCACCATCTTGTTCTGATACTGTTGACATATTAAACAGTGTTTCTGTATCTTAATGGAATACAGAGATGGAGTGAAAGCAAACTTGTTGTGTTGCAGGCAGTCATATTTCTTCACTTCTTATGGGTGGGCCCACTGCAAGCCTTGGCCGTGTTGATCATCCTATGGCATGAAATAGGCCCATCTGTTCTGGCTGGTTTCTTTGTGCTGCTGTTGTTGATTCCAGTACAAGGATTCATGGGAAAACTCTTCTCAAAGCTCAGGTAAGCTTGTCCCCATCATAATCATCATCATCATCATTTCATCGTGATGAGGTCAAGTTAGGTGAAGAAATATCAATAGCTATCAATATAAGACTGAGATGAAGTGATCATAAAATCACCAAAAAAACTGAAAAACAAAACAGATTGAGGGGTCGAGTATGTCTAAGAGAAACCCTGAAATAAACACACCAAAGGTATTGCACTGGACCCATGCTATCAAAGGTATTACACAGGATAGAACAGAATGGAAACAGCCTGTGAGCCCTATGTGACATGTAACAGCACAACAAGGTGATGTTAATTGATTTACATCTATACCAACGATACATGGCTTTTTTTTTTAAAACAGTTTGTCCTGTCCTTGTACCAGTTTAAAATGCTTTAAATAACATTTTGTACTCAGCTTAAATGCACAAGTGTGCAATAAAGAAAAGTGAGACATCTGATTGATGGCTGTGTAATTATTTGAACATAGCCGGTGACTTTTCTTTTTTTGAAACTATTTCAGGATGATATTATTTGGGGAGTTTAGACAGCATTAATTTTGAGCTGAATATTTTTACAGCAACATGACAAAGCGAAAACCTTCCTGGTGAAAAAGTATTGCCTTTATAGTGATATACAATACATCAAATTAAAGAGAAATGAATGCAGAATGCATGTAAACTATTTAAGGATCCACATTGCAACAAAAACCTACTACAGTTACATGACATTAGAGGAGGTTAGGTTGTTGCGTATCCTTTACAGGACGTTGCAGAACCAACCCTAACAGGACCTGGCTGTTGTCTGGTTTCTCTAGGCAAATTACGTCCAGTAGTTTGCCATTGCTTTCTGGACGGTCGGCTTTCTTGATTCCACTGTCTAAACCAACGCAAGGCTCATTGCCCGCAGCTGGGATCGAACCCGGCATCGCGGCATTACGAAGCGAAGTGTTTGCATCGACTTAGCCACAGAGCCGACAGAGGAGGTTAGACACAGGAAAAATTATTTAGACATGCAGTGTTGTGCTTACTTCAGTTTTTTTTTTTTTACTTGTTCATCAACACTGCTGTCTATTTCTAAGAATTCATATGCCTTCTCTATTCAGTTTTGCATCAGCTGATCTATATCTGAGACAATTATTCTAAATGCTTTGGATTTTATGACCGTTTTTATGTGACGCATCAGTTTCAGAACAGCCAAATGAAAACTACATGTACATGCTATATGAGGGCAATTCCAGTGATGACTGAAGACTTGATTTATTTAACAGTGATTATGATGTTGATCCTGAATGCAAACACCTTACTGGGTGTGATAGGCCCTAAAACATGCACTGGGTCACAGGTGGGGCTTGTCAGCACATCCCAGATAGTAATAGCTGCTGCCTTTTCTTATCTTTTTCTTGCTGCATTGTTTGCATTGCCGTTGCCTGCCTGGACCACCATAATCCCCAGTGATCATGTCTGTTGGAACTTCATGAGCTGAGAGAGCAGTTAGTTGCTGGATGAGGTCGTCTTTGAACTGTGCCAGATTTATTTGCTTGCCTGCAGCAGGATGGGATAACACATACAAGATGTGAGCATTGACCTGCGTCACTTCCATGATCAACATGAAAACCTTTTTCCACCTCCTTTTTGTTGTGTGAGTGTGATTACAAATAAACGAACACACAAACTTTATTTTTGAAGAAAAGAGACCATTTGATCCACAAGATCACAGCCATTCATACTCATATTGTATGAGTGAATTGGGCTAGGTTTCTGAACCTTTAGACTTCCTTTTCTTGCATTCCTCAAGTGTGGAATTTCTCTTTGTGGTCGGCAGGATGAGGTCTTTTTTTAAATTTTTTATTCCTCCAGGAAACACAAAGGATATTCTGCTCGTTATTAACTACCATCTTGGATGGTCATTGGCTGCCAATCAGACAATGAAGAATTTTTTTTCTCAGTGGTGTATTTTTCTTTATTTTTTTTCCCCACTGTAAAAAGATTAAAGTTTTTAACCAGACTGTTGATGATATCAGTTGTCAGCAGTGTGAAAAAGCAGTCCAGTGGTATTAAATTTTCATTCAGTGGTGCCTGAATTCGAGACATAGCTGATCGAAAGAGGGACAATCCGATGAAAACATTTTCTTCAATTTCATCCCAACCCATATTGTCAGCAATAGGTGCTGCACGTTTATTATTAATAATCATATTGTCAACACTATTGCTGTCACTATCTGGCTCAGATTCATCAACGACAGCAGCAGTCTGGGCAGTTCTATGGGCTGTGTTATTCTTCTGCTTTCCCTTAACATTTGGTCTGACATGTTTTGCAGCAGATGGTTGATATTCGTGATCATCATCATCTACATCATTGTCGGATAATTCGGAATCTAAGTTATCATCACTTCTAGAATTGCCTTTTTCATCTAACAACTGCTGCATAAGATCTAAAGCTTGAGTTTTTGTCATTGTTTGAGCTCTGTCTGCAGTGGATGTGGAAGGTTGAAAGCTTCTATTTCAGGAAAATCACACAACAAAATTGTATTGCACAGAATAAATTTAAATCAAATCAGAAACTAATACAATGACCATACATAGTTTTGCAAATGAAAAGACTTCATTTCACTAATTCTAGTTTATCCAGACATGTTTTATACAAATTTATGTTTCCAGTAAATGAAACAATATTAGAGTGTCTCTGTGAAGTGCCACTTTAATGGCGAATAGTCCGAATGAGATGGATTCAAAAGCAACATAAGTGGTGACTAGTCCGTAAAGAGTTGAAATGGGATGAACAACATGACGTCTTGAAATTAGAAACAGTAAAAATAACAGAAACGACCGTTTTAATTCCAGTGATGCATATGCTGCTAGACTCATATTTGATAGACCAAGTGGCTCTCAGTGGGTGTTTTTTTCAGCATCACACACGGCTGCCTTTATTTCCCAGGACATTACCAAGTACCTATTTGAGTTGATTGACCAGGTTGAAAAAAAAATCATCTCGAATGCACAGTTTAACCTTAGACCTAGGGTTATCTGTGCTGGTCTGTCTCTGCCTGTTCTTCTTGGAATATTACCTGTCCATGACTTCTTTCAAAACCATTTAGGGTTGCCTTGATGGGTTTCCTGTGATGATAATGTAGTAGTTTCCTATTGCATCAAACCCTAGGGATTCTCCTGTCTGAAAAATTCTGGGTGAACATCACAGAGGGATGCAATTTGTTCTCCTCAGGCGCAAGACAGCCATCCACACAGATGAGAGGGTCAAGGTTATGAATGAGATTATCTCTGGCATGAGAGTCATTAAGATGTACTGTTGGGAGAAACCATTTGGAGACCTGGTTGAGAAGATTAGGAGGTCAGTGTGTGTTTTGTGTGTATCTTCCTTTGTTGCATCCCTTTTCTTCATCATTTCATAGTTGATCATCTGGAATTTGGATGACTGATTATACCTCGATAATACAACATAATTCATAATCTCTTTAATCACCATTGATTACTGGCATCATGCAGGCTAATAGACTGACAAGACTGGGGTGTATTTAGAGAACAAAAAATGATAGAGAGGTGAAAACTGTATACACAATGGAACTCAATGGTCATAAACCATGAGGCAGACCAAGAAGATGATAGAGGGATAATATATACAGGCAGACCTACAAACACTTGGGAGTTAACTGGAAAGAGAGGACTAATCACAGAGATGAATGGAGATGAGTGAAATCTGCAGTAATGAACCTCAAGGACTTGGAATGCTGAAGAATAAAAAAAGCAGAAAAAGAAGAAAAACATAAAACTGTGGTGGTGTGGTGGTTAGTGCTCTGGCCTGCACATGGACATCTTGGCATAGAAAAATATCAGAAAGGATTGGCAGTGTGCAAAACAGCAGGATGTAGATAGGCATAAGCATGGACAAATTTTGTCAGACAAGAGGCAACAGATCAAATGGTTTAGACATGTGTCATGACTACCTCTAGATAGTGCACCACAGAGAACCCTGTTACTTAGACATACAAATGCAGACTAGAGGTCAAACCTGCAGGTAATGGATAGATGGACTATCTGAGGCCATAAATACCAGCATCTGCATAACACATACCAAGGCTCACACCTAATGTCTGTCACGGACTTGACACTGTAAGGCAGTACTACGAAAGGTGGCGGAGAAGAAGAAGAAGCAGAAAAACAAGAAGAAGAAGGAATTCTGTGTCTTCAGGAACAACTTTAGAAGACAAATATTTGCAGGGCTGATAAAGACAGTCAGTTGTATTAATTGTGTAAGAATCAATGCATAAGAAAAAAAATCATAGAAAAGACAGATTTATAGAGGGCTCAAAAGGATGTGCACTTGTGTGTACATTGGAAGATGCTGGAACAAGTAATGATTAACTTCTATCTAGGCCATGCAATAACAGATGATGGCTGGGGTGAACTAGAAACCAGTAAAGAGAATAAGAATGACCAGCATATATTTTCAGCAACATGACCAAAATATTAACAGCCAGAGAGGTAAAGAACTCATTAAAAATGAGAATCATCAAATGTTAACTAATTTGTATTATTAGTTAGAAAGTCAAACTGAGGTCCCGGAGAAACAATGTGACATTTTGTGGAAACAAAAACAGTTCATAAACAACAACAAAAACAAAAACAAGAAACAAAGTTTGGAGTTACTGGGAATGAAAAAACAGCTGATGAGAGTAATAACACAGCAGATATAAAGTATTTCAGTCACATTAAAAAACAGCACTCTTATTTAACAGAAAAAAAACTCATTTAGAAACAAGTTGGAATAGACTGGCAAGAGGTATACAGCAATATAAATGGGAGAATAACATCAAGAGTTGGACGAACATCATGCGATCCTTATGTGCAGACAAACATCACTCGATCCTTATGTACAGCCTGTATGAATGGCAGAGAATGCTGGAGATCCATTGAGTGAAACCTTGATTGTGGAAACAACACCTAATGTACATATCCGAGTGTACACTATTATGATGTTGAATTTAATACCATCTGTTAGCTGCACACATTGATGATGTTGCACTGATGTTCTTCTCAGTTTTGTTTTAAACTGCTTAACTGACATTAGTGTCACAAATCAATTCATTTTAGTTTGTATATTTAATAAATGGTTGAATGTTGTTTGAATATTTGTCAATGACTCTTACAGTTATTAATATTCATGCAATATACTTGTATGTTGGTTGTTAAAATTGCAAAACATGTTGACATTATAAAATAAGGCTAAGTTAAGGCATTATGCTGACTAGTTTCAATGTCATTATGTTTTATAGTTACAATTATATGATAATTCAATATCATTATGTTTTATAGTTACAATTATATGATAATATAGTAATATCTTAGCAAGGCATTGGATTGTGTCCAGCACCACCAACTGAGGACTATTATGAAAAGTATGGGGTTTCCAGCGCATTTAGTGCATTTTATTGGAAATCTCTATCATGAACAACAAGCAGCCATCAGAGCAGCTGGTGAAACATCTGATTGGTTCGAGGTGCAAAAGGGGGTGAGGCAGGGGTGCATTCTCTCACCATACCTATTCAATATATACGCAGAAAATATAATGAGAAATGTCAAAAATTACCAGACTTGTGACAGTTATGATCCATTCAAAATTGGTGGCAACCCTATTCCGGAACTCCGCTATGCAGATGACACAGTCCTCCTTTCGAACAGCGTAAAGGGAATAGAAAATTTAATATTGTCCGTCCAAAAGCACAGTGAAGATCAAAATCTGTTCTTGAATTTAAAAAAAAAACGAAAATAATGTCCACAGATAAAACTGGCTGTCACCCAAAAATATCTAGGCTCTATAATAAACAACAATGGAGACTGTTCGACAGAAATTAAAAGGAGGATGGCCATAGCAATGCAAAGATTGAACAGCCTTAAAAGTCTATGGTTAAGCACCAGCAAAGAGATAAAAATTAGAATTTTGAGAGCATGCATCTTCCCTGTGGCTACATAGGGATGTGAGTCGTGGACTATCTCTCAGTCCTTAAGAAAGAGAATAGGGGCTTTTGAGCTGAAATGCTATAGAAAGATTCTCAGAATATCTTGGACAAAGAAGATTAGAAATATTGACATCTTAAAAGATCTGAACATCAAGGAAGATTTGCTAATAAACAGCATCCTTTCTCAAAAGCTGAAATATTTTCGTCATATCAAGCTCCATGACGGATTGGAAAAAATTATAGCAGAAGGCATGGTACCAGGAAGGAGGGGCAGAGGCCGACCGACACGAAGATGGGCACAGGATATAAGTGACTCCTTGAGTTTGAAAGTTCAGGAGGCGGGGGAACTGGCAAGAGACCGAGTTTCTTACAGGCGGACTGTGATGAGAGCGACGTTCTGCAAAGGACCTGCTACATGATGATGATAGTAATATCTAAAGTAAAAGACTTGCCCGAATATTTTTTTACAATAGATTATTAGGGGCATTGCAGATAATGTGCGCAGAATCCTGTTGACTGCCTTTACTTTCCAGACATTTTCTGGTAACCATTTTGTGCCAGGGCTGATCTTGAAGCCCAGGTCAAATTTAAAAGTTTGCCTCGATGCCGATTCAAATCAGTGATGATTAGGGTGACAGGCAGGTGTACTAGCCACTGCGCCTTTTACATGCATCATCTGTAGCATGAAGATATAGTTAAATCATCAGAACTGTATATTTTATTGTTGATGCTGAAGATATAGTTAAGTCATCAGTTCTGTATATTTTATTGTTGATGCAGAAGATATAGTTAAATGATCAGTACTGTATATTTTATTGTTGATGCAGAAGATATCGTTAAATCATCAGTACTGTATATTTTATTGTTGATGCAGAAGATATAGTTAAATCATCAGCACTGTATATTTTATTGTTGATGCAGAAGATATAGTTAAATCATCAGTACTGTATATTTTATTGTTGATGCTGACGCTGCTACTGCTGCTTTTTTAGCTGCTATCATTGCTGGGCACTTGCTTGCACTGTATGTTTTGCTTGGCTTGCTTAAGACCCTGCGACACCAGCATGTACTCAAAGTCACTGTTGACACTAGTTAAATTTTATTTCTAGTGTCAGTGGTAAGTCTTTGATGAATGAGGTAAAGATAATTTCAAGTCAGTTAGTGCTGGATGAATGTGAGTATTTGGTTTTTCTTAAATAGGTAAAGGCAGTCTAGGACCTAAAACATGGTCCAGTATGGTAGATAAGCAGGCTTACTGTTTTTTGACTGCAGCAAGGATTTATTTCTGGCAGTAGTTAGCCATTGCATTTTCCCCCATATGTGGACTGAAAGTATATAATTTTATTGCGCAGCTACTGAGTTGAGGGCATGGTGCGACATTCTGAGCTGTGGCTTACAATTGTAATGTTTTTCAACTGTGCCCAATGTGGTTTGTGTTGTGAACTGCAGATTCAGAAAGTGTTGAGTGGCCTGTTGCGCAGAAATGGTGGTAATTTTTGCAGTTAATTGCTTGTGCAACTACTGATTTGTTATAACTGCTGCTTCTATCAACAGTGAACTGTTGGACTTTTTGTGTTGGCATTTCTGATGGCAGCCTTATGCAAATAATGTGCCTGTGTGTGCACTTAGCTTTGCCAGGGCTGCAGTCTGTGTCAGTTATTTCAGAAGAGACAGTGACTGACATTGTGTGTGGTGTTTACTTTACAGGATCGGAGTAACTGTGGGGTGACCTGTTTGCTGTGAATTTGAAACTGCAATTACCTGATTTTTCTGTATAGGATAAAGTAAACCTAGAACCATTTTTTACTGACTTTCTTTCCTAAGAAATATTTTTTTTTAAATATCCAAGATCTGTTTTATGTGTATTTATTCTTCTTCTTCTTCTTTTTCTTCTTCTTCTCCTCCTCCTCCTCCTCGGGCATTTACCATAGCGAGATGTTGGGGGGAGATGTAAGGATCGTTTGTGCGCTTTTTCCTGTGCATTGTCCAAGTTGGTGTTCATTTCTGTTAGGTTGATCTTGATGATGTCGCTGCATCTCTTGCTGGTCTTTCCCTTGCTCTGTGTTTGTCACAGACCTCTGGGTGACCTTGCTGGTCCGTGGCTCGTAACTGGGCCTATGACAGACAGACTAACCTTTAACACACACTGAACCCGAACGCACACAGAGCACACACGACAATCTTTATTGTAAGTACAGCTAATACAATAGACAGTTGACTTCCCGCTGTGTGGCCACCTATTGCTTGGACCCTCTGGCCGAACGAGCTTTACTGTCGCCTCGTTCCCAGTACGTACCACAAGCAATCTTCTGGTGTACAAACCACAGCACGGCGAGATACGCTCTTACCTATTGACACACTGACCAACCAAACT